TTGTAAAATAAGATAGTTTTTTTCTAACAAGAATTTATATCTATAATATATACTGTATGTAAATTGCTTACATATTGTTTATTACAAACATGTTCATTTTATTGATATATATGTTTACAATATATATATAATAATATATATATATATTGTAATAAGAATGTATATATATATATATATTGTAATATTTTACAAAATTTTTACTTATAATTGTGTTTTTATATTTTATACTACAACCTTATTGTTGCAAGAAAATACAGATAGTTTGTATTAATTTGTAGAAAATGCATTATGTTAATATAATTGAATTACTATATATTAAATAAATCATTTTTCTTGCATCTGTAAGAATAAGCAATTATACAATTAAATAAATATAAATTAAGTAATTCATGCAATATATGTACATTATATATATATATATAGTTGTTTGACATGTGTATTCATAAATTTTTCTCATCATAGTGAGTATAAATGTATTTTTTAAGATGATCTGATTTTAATATTTTGAGAATTCTTATTAATTTTTTTATTTCCATTTATATTCATAGCCACTTTATACTACTANTAATACTTAATTTGAATTCTTTTAAAAAATTCAAGATTTATACAATATTCATTAAATATATATTGTATATTTGTATGTACTGCAAATATACAATATATATTTAATGAATATTGTATAAATCTTGAATTTTTTAAAAGAATTCAAATTAAACATTAAAATTATTTTAAACAGTAAAAAATGATTTACAGAATAATTGAATTTTAATGTTAAAATAATTTATACCTAATTTACATTTGAATAAATATATTCATTTTTATTTATTTATTCATCTTTTTTATAAAATGTCTATGATAATGAATCTCCTGGAAACATTAACAATAAAACCACTAACAAATACATAAAAAACAATAATAAGTATAAATAAAACATAGGATACAAGTTAAAAAAAGATGTAATGTAAAAGTTATATAGTAATTCTTTACAAGTATTTTTAAAACAATGGAAATCAGTATGGAGTAAATATTCAAAAATATCAATATTTTCAGAGTGTTAGAAATAGGATGTTTGAGATATTGATAGTCTAAAAAAAGATATATAGATGGATGTTAAGTCGCAAGTATTTCACAAATAACTCTTAAAGCTAATCTGACTACACATAGACATTGTAGTATTGATAGTGTAATAATCAATAGAAATATTTAATACGTTCATTAAATAGAGTCCCAATGTAGGACTAGCAATGTTCAGATGACTGGTATAGGTAAGTTACAGAATTTATTTAAGGCAAGATATATTTTATTACATTCTTTAGAGATTTTTTCCAGAAGGGAAGGGGGCAACCATAGCCCAGATTGACAAGTAATAGTCTATAATAGATTGAGAGTTGGTATAAGATGGAAAATAATACAATTTTAAAAGATATAGAGGGGCAGAAGCACCATAGAATTCCACATCAAATGGCAATTTAGCTATTCTAGCAATGTGGCATTTTAACATAAGTTAATGCATCAAAAATGATGCTAAGATTGTTTACAGAGCAAACTTATCTTATATGCTCATCATAAATAATAAAAGTTGAAAGAGGACAATTCCTGTTTAGCATTTTAGTTTAAAAAATTTACAGAAAATTTATTAGTTTGTTATGTTGTTATTTTAAAGATAGTATAACAATAAATTTTCTGCTATAAATTTTACTGTATAAATAATTACTATGTTCAAAGAATTAAAAGTTTAGTTTTTAAATTAAATATCTCTGACTAGATGTATTAAAACTTTTAATTATAAAAGCTTAATATTAGCAAATAATAATACAAAATAAAATAAACATATTAATAAAGTCTAACAACTACCAAATTATATTGGGATATATTACTGCTGTTATTAATAATTAAATGGGTCTAGGAGGTAGGTGTTAGACATCATTTCTTATTTAACTTAATAGCAGCAGTAATATAACCTGATCTAATCCAGCAATCATTTGGCTTTAATATAACTATTGGGTTTACAGATGTTTATATTTAGCCCTAAACATATTAATTAAAATAAAATATTAAATTATTTCTACTTTGATATTAAATGCACATAATATACATAAGCTTAAATTTTTATTTATTACACATTTTTAGAATACCACTCCATCCTTACAGCCATGTTTTTAAGATATGTAATGCTAAAGCAATACTTTGAAAATGATTGATAAAAAAAATTATTTAAGCTTGTATAAGCATAGTATGTAATACAGTAGAGCCTCGAAAACTCGGCACTCGATAACCCGGCACTCCAGATAACTCGGCCACACCCTGGCAGGGCAAAAAAATCCTTAGTTAATTAATTTTCATGATAAAGACAGCTTTATGCCTCAAAGTATTTTTCTGAGGTCTGTCTTATCAGGTAAATTACTGTACAGTGTATTCATTAATTTTCATTTTCATGTAGTAAAGGCTCTATGCCTTCATAAAAGACGTACTTTTCCTTTATTTAAGGGTATTTGGGCAGTTTATTCTCTGTTGTATTCTCAAGTAAACAATACATACAAGTACAGTACAGTATTTTCTGAGGAAACACTCATACTTTTTTTTTAACCCCATTTCCGATAACCCAGCATTTTCACAAACTCAGCCACCCTTCGGTCCACATTAGGCCAAGTTTTCGAGGCTCTACTGTACAATCTATGTAAATTTAAATGTTTTGAAAATTTTTATACATCATCAGGATAAAGGTGGTATTCAAGGTAGGGCTCATTCTGAAGTATTAATGAAAAACTTATTTTTATATTATACAGCTCATTTTTTCATGTATGTTTTTTATTTAAAGCATTTATTCATATGTATGCACACTTTCTATAATGACATTGTAAATCTAAATCTGCAATTGTCAGTACCTGGAATTACTGAAAAGTTATTGTACAGCTTGTTTGGTATCATACTGATATCCTTTGGAACAGCTTGCATTTTTGCTTTTCTTTTTTTAATATTAAGCAATTTTTTGCTTAATATTAAAAAAATTACTTCAAAAATTTAACAAAAATACTTTAGAATTGTATTCATCTAAATCCATTCTCAGATAAAAGTGAAAATAAATCATAATTTTGACAAAAATAGTTTACAATAGTTTATAAAATTAAACTATTTTTGACTTATTTTTTCTGAATAAATAAATTTTTTTATGAGGATAACTTATTTAACTAAATTAATAAAAAATTATTAGAAGAATATTAAATTCTCTGTTGAATATTTTCTAATATTTCTTTAATAGATTTTGACAAAATTTGTGTCAGACCAAAGCAATCTCTTTATTCCATAAATTCTTCACATCTCTATAATATATCCCACAATAATAATTCCAATATCGAAAACAACAAAACTGAATAGAGATTATGTATTCCAAAGAAAATGAATGAATAACTTTATATGCATTTATTTTTTGAATAATTTATTTGAGCATTAAACTAATTAATGAAGAATTAAAAAAAAACTAAAGTAATTTAATTAGTCTACATCAAGACAGATCAGATATTAAATTTCATCAAAATCGTAAAACTAAAAAGTGTTTCATAGTAACATGATCATAAAATAGGTTTAAAAATCTACAGAAATTATTGGAGTTGAATGTGTAAGATACAAATTCATTCTATTTATAAAAATCTAAATTGATGGAACCTTTCGTGTGCTTTTTTTTTAATGAACAAAAGAAAGAAATGAACTTTAATAAATAAAAAAATTACGTGTGTAAAAAGAATTACTATATACAATCAATTGCACACAAATGATTCTTTAAGAACTTTCAATCACCTATTTCGAAAATAAAATTCAGAAGAAAAACTATTTTGTTTTTTCTTATGGATATTCTATCCTTATCATATTTTCTACTTTACATATTTCTAAAGAACATTTTGTATTTTGTAATACAACAAAAAAAAAAAAAAAGCTATGAGGCTATATCAAAGGTTATTCTAGCAAAGAAATTTAAGAAAACAAATATTTCATTCTATAAAAACATGATGCTTAATCTCAAATCTTTTGTAATAAATCAAAATGCATTATGATTATATTATGATTTGCAAAATACACATCAGTCCACGCATCTGGAATTTAACCAATAATAATAATAATAAATTAAGTTACATTAATCCATATATTTAAAACAATACAGTATATATTTAATAACAACGAGGCAGAATTATAAGAGAAATAGAAAAAAACAATTTAACAAATTTAATATTAAATGTTTTTGTCGACTCTAATTACAAACTCAAAGTATGCAACTACTGTATTCAGAGTTAAGTGCTATTTTGTATTATTATTTAACTCTTCAATAATCCATAAAAAAATATCCACAAATATCACATAGTTTATATGTTCTTTTCAGTGAAAATAAATAAATTTGATTATTCTAATAACAGTTTTAATCAAATTTTAAAAATATAAAAACTTCTGACAAAAATAGTCAGTCATAGAAGGAAAAAAATTTTTTTTTTAATTTAAATGATTTATACTTTAATATCACTTTAAACAATGAAAATGAGATAAAATAGCCTATATAAAAATAATAATGTATTAAAATCAATGTTTTCGTCAAACAAGTATTAGTTTATTTCAATGTAAGTTCTAGTCTTCTTTTTTATAACAGTTTATATGATAACGAACAAGGATATAAAACAGAACAGATTCAATTATTAACCAAGCACATTACTTCTCTTTATCAATTTTCTGAACAAACTTTAGTAATTATCAAAATTAATGTTTTAATAATATATTTTTAAAAACATTTCTAAAATACCATTATAAAATATTAATTTACATTATTACAATATAATTGCAATAATACTTGTGAAAAAATGTTTTTTCATAAGTATATTACAACTTATATTGCAGAGTTTAACTATATTAAATGAATATTTAATCATTTTCAAGTTCATTTCACTATGTATTATTTAAGTACTTAAAATAAAGTTATAAAAATGTAGTTCATTTAATATTGAATTTGTTGAACTTACATTTTTTTTATTTCTCTCAATTTAATTACATAATCAGAAGTTCTTTTGAATAATCAGCTGCCTTTCCGGTTTAAATGTACTCCAACCTGTGAGATTACATGTGCTGATTTTTAAGTTATAAAAGGTTATGCATTTATTCCGATTTAATGCGTAAGAAACGAACGAATTTAAATGTTATCCTATTATTCGGAAATAAAGCAGCAAAAGATATTCCGAAACGAATCTTTAAATATTTAAAGTCCGCGTAACTTCAGATGATAACTTTTCTCGTGACTTACTCTTAGCGCCATCTAGAGGGACAAAAGTTCCGGTATTTAAGTCCGTCCCGAATCGAACTTTATTTGTGTCTCCGGAATATTGTCGAAAGTTAGTGTTAATTTTCTTCCCGAAATTCGATTAGATTCACACTAGAAGTTTATATAATGTAAGTAAAGTAGCTTATGGCATAAATTCCGATTGTTGCGCTTTGTTAGTATAAGCGTGTATACGCTTCGTATTAACAGAACTACACGTGGCCGATCGGTGCATTTCTTTAATATAAATAAGTTTACTTTTATATTTGAGAAAAATTAATCTTAAAAGAATTTATATATAATTATTTGAAGATTTTAATTCGTTTGGCGGAAAATTTTAAGAATTAGTAAAAAAATAATAATACTAATATTGAGAAATTTCGTTTATTTTAATGTTTTCTATATAAGAGTGGCACTTTTTCGTCTATCTATTGATAAGTATTGTCGCATGACCGTAAATTTTTTAAATAGATTACGCGATTATATGCAAAAGAGAAGTTTTGTTGCACATTTGGAAACACTTCAATTTATTCATTTATTCGTAACATATAAATTTATGAATTGCTAACAATTATATACAGAAAGTACTTTGTATAGTAAGAAAAACATTCGTAGGCTCGTATTGGATGTGTATTTGGGTTGATGTTAGAGATGGTTATGATTATATTATATAATCATAATCATCTTCCTAAAGTTGTATATTTATATACATTCAAAAATACTTCCAGATTCGTTCTATTTTCGTTAATATATTTCAAGGTGAAGATTTTTAATGTATTATTAAATTTTTCCTGTGACTCAGCTGTGATCAATTATATTTGGGAATTTTATTTAATTATAACGTATAAACGTTTACATTATGAACATTTAATTAAAATTTGCCTGTGCAAATAAAATTATAAGAATTTAAACTATTCATGTTATATAGAGAAAATTGAATTAAGTAATTTACAGTAAAAACGAAACTAGAAAACTATTTTAATAACGTTTTATGGATTATTTTCTGTCAGAAATTATAAATATTACTTAAACTTTTGTCAGAAACCTGTATTAAAAAATTTAAATATGTAGAAATATCTTAAAATTTTTTAAAATAGTTTTCATATAGAACATGTTTATCAGAAACACTTCAGTTTATGATTATTATGTGTAATGTAACATTTACTGTGTGTTTTATTCTTTGTTTCCCATTGTTTGGTCTTTAAATGGATTATTATTATTATTTTTTTTTTTACTTTTTATAAGAAGGAAGTAGGTTACTTGGTCTTACAGATACTGTTTATTGATGTAAATAATAAAATAAACCAATAAAACCAAAACAAATAAAATAAACTAATTACTACCGCAATCTGTAAGGTTGCGGTAGTAATTGGTACATCATTAGAAATGGAAATTAAAATTAAATGTGACATCAACAATTCTAATTTAATTATATTATATAATAAGAAAAATTGAATAAGAATTAAATGAATTTGAATTTCTATTAATAATTTTCATATAAATGTAGTTTTTTTTTACTGTATAGTTTCATAAATTTAATTTTGTGAAACTATCATTTTTATTATTAATTTATAAACTAGTGGTAATTAACAAACTAGAAATTTTGAATTATTTCAAAAGAAAATGCTTGAAAAAATATTTGAAATTTACATAAGTAATGGAATTTTTTTGAATCAAGCATTAAAACAAAATAATAAAAGTTTAGAGAACTTATAGCCTAATCATTTGTTTTCAGTTCTGTCAGTGACAATTTACAAAATTTATATAATGATGATAAATTGAAAAATTTATTGCTACTATTTTAACATAAGAGTTTAAGTGAATATAATTTCAGAAATTTTATTTATTAAAAAATATTTTGTAAATTTGTATTAGTTATATGATATTAAGTTTGTAAGTTAAATTAGAATTGAGTTATGATACAAAGTTTAAATTTAATGGTATTTTAATGATATTGTTTATGTAAATATTTTTTACTTTAAAAATGTTCTGTATCTGTTAGTAATAATTTTAATTTTGTACACTCAACATTTCTATGAAATTATGTATAATTATATTTGCATTCATTTCACAATAGAAAACAGATATTCTAGAATATAAAATGAGTAACGTTAAAGATGTTCAAGTCAAATATTGATTTTAAATATGATGTTCTGGTATGTCAACTCTGTTGCAAAAAGAAAACTTAAGTTCAATCACCTCATGTTTTTGAGCTTGTGCTATTTTGTAATTTAAAGAAACTTAAGTTGACTTAACAGAATTTATCTACATGGTTAATTTGTTAAGCAAATGAGTTTTTCTCTTTTGATTGTTAGTATAATGTTCAGAAAGACATCATTATTAAATAATACAATGGTGTGTAAAATTTAATGGCCAATCTGATGATAAAATTTAATAAATTTATTTATTTTGTATTATTTAAGCAATATCAGAGTACTACTTATAGTAAAACTTCTCTAATTCAAGCATCTGTAACTTGAATATATTTTTAACTTGAACAAAATGAAGCACTTGCTAGATCTCAATGGAATAGCATAGGGATTTAACATCACTTGAATTTCCTTAATTCAAATTTTCTCCAATTTAAAGGTTTTTGTGGTCTCCTGACACTGATTTTGTTACTTTCAACTTCTCTGACTTGAATTTTAATATTTATTCTATACAAAGTGATCCTAATTAACAGATTTTCACGAAGTTTGTAGTATCTTCTCTCCACTCATTTGCAGACAACATTCCAGACCAAAGTAAGAGGACCTCTCATTTTATCTCAACAAGATATACAGTACCTGTAAAACTGTTAGATTCCATTAGTTACATTGAACATTTTGCCAAAAGGCATTACATTGGCTGTTTTAAATAAAAAATCTATCAAAAATTCTTATATATAATACAAGAAAGGTAAAAATACAAATCAATTCAGAATCAGCATTATTAAAAACTCTGATTTTTTTTAACTCAAAGTTTTTTCTTGTCTCTTGGAGCTTCGAGTTAGAGAAGTTTACTGTATATAATAATTCAGTTTTCCTTTTAACTTTTTACGATTTTTTTTTTATACAAATAATTTTAAAATTATTTCATACATAAAATGTTATTTTATAATATAATCAAATTATATAAAATATAATAAGATGATGAATTTAATTACTTTACAATGACATACTACTAAAATATAATTGCATCAATAAAAAAATATAGGCAGACTGTCCCTGTTTGATTTTAGGTTTATGCTAGTGGCAGTTCAAAAAGAAAAAAAAAAATAAGGAAATAAACATTAAATAAAAATTCCTAATTGCATACTAAATCTGTGATATATTTTTAGGGTGTATGAATGTTCACTGTATCTTTCTCAAGCATACTTATTTTATTTCTGGGAAGGCATTACAGATTCATTTTTTTATTTTGCACTAAACACTGGAACTTGTATCAGCCTTTGCAGTTCTCACTTGTAACACATTTTTGTGTGATATCTGTGCTGCTTTTAGTTTATGCTAGTTACTTTACAAACATGGCTCTGGAATGCAACAATAGTTAGATTAACCGAGCAACCAGCATCCTTATGATACTGATTATTTTGATAATCTATCTAATTATGGAAAAAAACATTAAAAAAGAGTCAGCTTTTGAATTTTTTCTTTTAAAAGTTTTATGATTTGTGATATTATGCTATTTTGTGTTAATACAGTTTTGTCTTATTTATGCTTTAAAAAAATTCAGCAAAGAGTTGAATAACTTTTCTGGCTGTTTATGAGATTTTATTAATCAGTGTTTATATGATACGTTAAGCAAAAAATATCAAGGTTCTTCAAACATTATGTGGATAAAAAGGGAAAATATTTTAAATGACATTCAATATTATGTAGAAACTTTTACATTCAGATCTATTGAGCACGCGATTTCTGTTCTATCTTTCTTATTTAAAAATCGTTCCAAATGACTGTTTTTTGTATTTAATAATATTGTTTCAAACAATTCTTTACCTGAAGGATGCAGGAGGGGGTCTGAAAACATTTGTATTGTTAAATTTTAATTCTCATCAGTTAAAGGTTTCTGAGGTATGTGTTATTTTTAAAATTAAAATTTAACTACAAATAGAAATAATTACTATTCGTACATAGTTAATACATATATGAATTTGTACATATACCTTTACAAAAATTCAGCTATTTAGACTAGCATCATCACTATCTGTAAAACTTGTCATTTTCGACAACTTGTCATCTTCTCAGTCCACATTGAGTCAAGTTTGAGGACTTGGCTAAAAGAAATATAAAAGCTGCAGCTTTTATATTTCTTTTAGCATTTTTTCCCATGTGATTTTGGAATCATTTGAATCAGATTCTGATTTTTCTTGTTTTTCTATATATTTTCCTCTTAGAGTTTCATTAAAAATAGTCCCTTTTTTTGGCAAATTCTAATAGTTCTGTCTGTGACATTTCCTTTGTCATTAATATTTAAGTTATTTATCAAACCTGCTATACTCTCAAATGTATCAAATGGGATTTTGTTATTACTGCATAAAATTGCTTGAAAATTATTTGGATTTAAATAATAAAAATCATTATAAATGGTATTGTCCTTTTAAGTATCAACTGTTAGAACTTGCTTGCTCCACAATTGTTATAAGCATTAATTTGAATATCCAACATTTATATATTCTCATTCTGTTTGTTCTCTGCAAAATCTCTGTTAACAAATATGTTAATTTTTCTTTTCTCAATTTCTTCATTTACACCCTTGCGTTGGCTATTTGATAGGGCAGTATTCTTTGATCAACACAAATATGTAACATCATAAAAGTATTTCCTGGAAAGAATGTTTTTAAAAAATGTACAGTTGCATAGTGCTGTTTTCTGTTATTATTACATTATTAACTTGTATTAATT